ATATACAATTTTTGATGGTTTTTGGGAACATTGGGCGCATAGGATAAAAAAAAAAATAGCTCAGCACTTAAAACAACTGCTAGTTTGAATTGAATTTAGCTGACAACAGAAATCAAAACAGCCGAGCTGAGCAAAGTTTACAGAAAAGACAGCAAAATGACAGTGAATGTATGAAGCTGAACTTTTTTCGCCAGCAGCATCTTCACATTTTCTGTTCCGCCTTAAATGGTGCAGCAGTTACATTCCAGCGCTGCACCATTTAAGGTGGAACAACAAATTCCAATATAAAGCTGGCAGATAACAAGTCACCTTCGGCCTCATGGTGAATGTTGCGCTTGTTTTACCTGCAGAAGCCGTTAAAATCAGTCAAATAGAGAGAGCTTCTTCTTTTGTTATGTTACCGTGAGGAAACCGGTCATTTCACCTGGAAAGTTTAGCACAAGCACAGTGACAGGCATCTGAGGACGCTGCTGTATAGTCAATTTATGGCAGGAAACAAATCCATACACATGAAAAGTAAGCAGCTGCGTAAAGTCCCATCTGCAGTCAGAGGCCTCTCCACATCTCCCACTTTGGATCTTGAGTCTTTCCATAAGGCTGAAGTCTAAGGTCCTGTCCCATTTCTTATTTTTACCACTAGCCCTTGTTTTTGAGTGTCTCCTTGCCCCTTTGGAACTGATTTACAAGGGGTAGTGGTTGAAATCTTCCCTCTGAAATGAGACCCTCAAATAAAAAGAGCATCACTTCATTAACAGCTACCAGCGCTGCTCTGTAGGCGACCCTGCCAGTCTGCAGTGACAGCAGAGGAGGGTAAAGTTCAGCTCCTCACTGCTGGGCTTTAGTTACATTTAGGGAATCATATGATCTTCAAAGAGGGGGGCAATTATTTATTATCACCCACCCCTAATTCTTCAGTGATATGAAGCTGAAGTCAGATATTCACCAGCTTCTTGTTCAAATTTTCCCGTTCCACCTTAAATGGAGCAGCAAGTACATGCTGCTGCTTCAGGCATCAGAACTGCTGGACCATTTAAGGTGGAACGGGAAATTTAGCTAGCTAGCTGCCGAGACATTAGCATACTATTCGCGATTTTTTATGGTTGTTATGAAGAAAACGACCATAATACACTGAAACGACATTAAACTAAGATAATACAGTGATTATCGTAATTTTAACAGGGAAAATTCTCACAATTGTGAGTTTTTTTTTTGGTCTCTTGTTCTCCATCTTGCCAGTTTTTCTTTTTTTCTCAACACTCTGTTTGGAGTGTCTGAAAAACCTCTGTTTGGAGGGTCATGTAGCTCTAACACTTCCCTCTACCCCTCTATCTCAACAAAAATCGGGGCACCCTTCCACTAGGTGTGAACGTGCAACATGGAGGGCTAAGGGCTCAGTGGTATGGGGCGAGGGATGAAATAGGATTGGGCCTTAGTCAAAGTTTGAGTCATTGGAGTGGAAGTCAAAGTCAAGTCACAAATCTTTCTCAATTTTCTCGAGTCAGACTCAAGTCCAAGTGTTCCAGTACTTTCCACAGTGGAAAAACTCCCTTTGATGGCACTTTTTAAAGGAGATCTTGGAAATGAAACACTGTTAAAAATGAGAGGTCAGCTCAACTTAAAATTATATATTACCTGATTACATGGCTTTTCTTGAGTTGACTCAACTTGAGGACACCAGATTTCACACAACTCAAACTTCTTAGTTGAGTCAAAAATTCTCCCAGCTACTGTTTCTAGGTCCGCATCTCAGTTACATAAACAAAACTGAAAGAGTATGTTTTTACTCAGTTTCCCCACTAGCTGGTGCTACTTCTATCACACAGCCCCGTCTGGCATATTTTCCTCTTTGGCTTCTGGATATGGACAACTGTGGCACTGCTGGGATTCAAACTCACAGCCTCCTGATGTCGGTATGAGTTATTAGACAGGTGCACCACATGAGATGAGGACATGCTTAAACTTAAAACAACTAATATTTTCTCCAGTGTATTAAACATCTGTAGACACATAATCTGAGCTGCTTAGTGTGTTCCTGAGGGGCGCAGTGGACCAAGAGGTCACCCCAACATGAGGTTGTGCGTTTGAGCCCCAGTGATGCCATAGCCATCCGTAAGTGTGTAAGCATAAGTGTGTCACACAATGTCTAGCATGATTGTGTGATGGAGAGAGTCCTGGCTGCTGGGGAAGTTGAGTATAAACAAACACATTTTGTTTTACCTTACTGAGACGCAGAACTTAAAAATTTAAGAGAACTTTGACTCAACTAGGAAGTTTGAGTTGGATGAACTTGTGTCCTCAAGTTGAGTCAACTCAAGAAAAGCCATGAAATCAGTTACTATATCAGTTTGAGTTGAGCTGACCTCTCATTTTTACTAGTGAATGCAAGAAAGAGCTCTGCATGCATTGAAACATTATGGTTCGATTCAAAGCTATAATGCATGTTTTCTAACGTCTTCCTCGCTCTTTCACAATGCTTCACCCCAGTAACCCCTCAGTATCTGGAGGACCAATTCCATCAGCTTTCTTCTCGTTTCAGAAAGTGGCCCATCCATCATCACGTCCATTTGTCCATCCAGTAACAGAAGCTAATGTGATTTCTGGGGATGCTCCAAGGTTTCCAGCTGTTTTAGTAATGATTCAGCCTTTAAAGAGTTTCACAACGGGCCTTGACGTTGGAGAATCACCCAGGAGGGCTGTGTGGACGGCGTCCGAGCAGAAGAGAACAGGTCAAACCCCTGTGACTGTAAGTGTTTCAGAGATCTAACAGAAACAGGCCATGTGTTCGGGAAAACAAAGGCAGCACATCTGATCCCAAACCGACAAACTGGATCCTCACTCGAGGCAGCTGCGACTGTAATGATTCTTATCATGAGAACAAAAAAGATCTGCTCAGACAGAATGTTTTGTTTTGTGTATAAGGAGAAATTTAGGGGGGATTCCACCAATTTCTTCCAGAATGTCTGCATAATTTAGTGTTTGAGATGTAAACGGAGTGATTCAGAGTGGTTTGGTGTGAAACGGTTCAGATGTCTTTACAGTGGTGGTGATAGGAACCAGGGGTCGCCATGACTACAACACAAATACAGACATTTTATTTACTATCCAAAACCTAAAAACTTCACAAACCTGCCATAAAACAATAATTCAGACATAAGACAGTGTATTCATAACAACTTTCTGTGAGGGAGCTTTTAGAGGTGGACGTCTGGTTCCTATCGCCACCACTGTGAACAATGCTGACTCGGGAAGTTTCACTAGAACAGAGCGTTTCACGCCAAACCACTCTGAACATTTAACATTTAATTATGCAGAAATTAGGCCTCAATAGGTTTTATTAACATAAAGCAGCTCTATGCTAATCCTATCTGTATATTTATCTTCAACATTCATGTTCATCACCGTTTCTTACTATAAAGAGCAAGGTCTATCTAAACAATGATTGGATGGTTTTCTTTTCTGAACTTCTGTCAGGAGCACATATTGAAACTTTAAGCTGGGCCTTGGATTTATTCCCATGGTAGGGGTTTTGTTGGATGTTACACTCTCTTTGAGAAGAAAATGCAAAGATCTAAGAAGCTCAAACATTTTGAAGCATAAGAAGTTCCCCATATTTTTGACAGGCAGTGTAGGGTGGAAAAATACTCCAAATCTGGACCAGATTGGCCACAGAACTGCACCGTTTAGTGTATTCCCCACTCAAACACACCTGACTCAGCTCATCAGCTCATTATCCAGCTCCTTGAGCTGAATCAGGTGCAGTTCCCTCACTGAGGAACCGTCGTGCTGCGGCCTCAGTTGTGTTGCTGTGTTTGGTTGGAACAGCTGCGACCACCGTCCCTGCGGAAGACCTTTCCCACTTTCCCCTGTTCTTCATTTTCTTTTAATGAAACCATTATTTTCTGCCACACAGACTTTACAAATAAAACAACTGAATATCTTTCTTTGTTTTGGCTGCAGGACAGGTGGTGTGGAGAGGAAACCTCCCTGTCCTCCCTCAGGGTGGAGGAGGACCCTGGGAGTTGCAGCAAAACACTGTATCTCGATCATTTACACTGAAATATGATTACAGATAACGTCTGGCATTTCTGCAAGCCTCCACAAACAAAGCACAAGGTTAGAGTGTTTTGAAATGAGGGATCTAATCAAACCTCCCTCTGCATTCCCCTGCACTGAGCTGCACTCTATACACAGGCCACCATACGACGGAACATCATCGCCAAAAAATGAGGACTGAGGAGAGAAGTTACTGAACAACAATGACTTCCTTAAAAAGAGGGGACGTTTAATACCCTTCAACTCTAAAGACGTGTTGCTGGGTCCAAACTTACATTGCTCACTCATAACCACATAACCAACTATTAGTTTCATAGTAAATACTGAATAATTCATAGTAGTTACTGGATGATTCATAGTAGATACTGACTAATTTATAGTGGTTCCTGAATAATTCTTAGTTACTGCATAATTCCTAGTAGATACTAAATAATTCATAGTAGTTCACGAATAATTCGGAATAGTTACTGAATAATTCATCCTGGTTACTGAATAATTCTTAGTAGTTAATGAATAATTCACAGTAGATATTGAATAATTCTTGGTGTTTTTGAATAATTCTTAGGAGATAGTGAGTAATTTATAGTGGTTAATGAATAATTCTAAGTAGGTACTGAATAATTCATAGGGGTTAGTTAATTCATAGTAGTTCTTGAATAATTTATAGTAGTTACTGAATAATTCTTAGTAGATACTGAATACTTTACAGTGGTTAATGAGTAATTCTTATTGGTTTTGTGAATAATTCCTTGGAGATACTGACTAATTTATAGTGTTTCATGAATAATTCTTAGTAGTCACCTAAAATACAGTGTTTACTGAATAATTCATAGTGGTTACTAAATAATTACTAGTAGATACTGAATAATTTCTATTAAGATTGCCATTCAAATGCTTAATATCAGAGACTGAAAACAAACGCCAGAGAAAGTGAAATGCATACATACATGCTGGCCTTGCGCAATCCCTTGTGTTGTGGTAAATTCTATGAAAATGCGTCCTGCATTCGGATGAGAACTTGACTGGTCCTGCTTGAGAGAAAGAAAGTTTCTAATCAGGATTAAGATTTTGTGAATTGGTGAACATTAACAGTTAAGAGCATTAAGAGACTGAAAGCACGCCATGTGTAAGATGAGGACACTCTCCTATAATTTCTCTATGCTTCACCGCAGCATTTTACAATTCAGTGACAAGATATCAAGTTTTTTTCCCATCAGTGGAGAGACTTGATGATGTCAGAGTCTCCTGCTTCTAAAACCGAGTCACCCCCCTTTAGCTGTGCAGAGACCCAAAAGGAAGAATTAGTGCGTGTTAGCGCTTGACATGACGTTGCAAGAGGGCAGAGACTTAATGATTCCAGTAAAGCACGTCTAGCTCTTTGTATGAGCTTCTAGATAATGGATTTTACACCAATTACTGCAGCCGGTGGTGTTAGGCCGGAGTCCTGAGACCGGTAATCAGCTTTAACATGCTTTTCCTATTGACCTGCTGCTGGATGGTGAAATGCACCTAGCATGGCTTTCACTTGTCAACTGTATACATGTGGTTTGTACTGCAGGACACCAGCTGCACAGCTTTGTGTGAATGGAACGATTTCACTTTTGTCATCTGAAAGTCGACCCATTTTTCCACAAATCTGGGCTATAAACTATAAACAGACGGCGCCTCTTCAGTGATCTGCTCTGTACAAATTATTTTAATAAAATAATACAAAGAGCGTCTAAGATTTTTGGCTTTCAGCAGTAAATTGTAAGCATATAGCAACATGTGTGATCATAAAACACGTTTTGTTAATTTGAGACCTTTTACAAAAAAAATAATAAAATAAAATAAAAATGTACATTTATTTCATGCAGTTACGGAATAATTCGCCTTACGATTCGGTCATGTAAATTCAGATGGACAAACTGAAATATACCCTGGTCAATAAGAGGTTAAATGGTGTGTCATATGTAATAACACACCAATCAAAGAGACTCTGTGCAGGATTTTGTTGAGATTGCCATGATTTGGGGGAACCAGAGAGATATATGTTTATGGCGTTTGACACCTAGACACCAAAAAAATTAAATATTCTGAAGCATTTCTAACATACATTCAGTGATGTTTGTTAAATTAGTAATTAACATATGAAAATCTAGAGAAATCTAACACATTTTTACATATGTTGTGACTAGGGCTGGGTATCAAAAGTCAACTTCATATCTGTACAGTACAGACAGATGTACTGTAATAAAAAAAAATCCATTGTCATTTCAATATTTAAGTAGTCAAACTTACCAGCCTCCATGAGCCAATGACCATGCATGTTCCAAAAACTAGACTGCTTATTGGCTGATGATTTGAGTGCTTTGGGTACATTAAGTACTTTGAGTACTTTGGGTACTTTAAGTACTTTGGAAATTTCGAGTACTTAATACTTTGAGTACTTTGGAAATTTTGAGTTCTTTGAGTACTTTGGATACTCTGAGTACTTTAGAAATTTTGAGTCATTTAGGTACTTTGAGTACCTTGGAAAATTTGAGTCCTTAATATCTTGAGTACTTTAGAAAACTTTGAGTACTTTGAGTACCTTGGAGGTTTTCTCTGAGCACTTTGGGTGCTTTGTGTATGTCCACATTTAAAGTGCTTGAGATGCATTTAGTATTTTTAGTACATTAAAAATAAACGTATGCATTGAATTTATATAATTCAAATATTTTACTTGACTGTGCATGAAATGTTCCATCAACAAATGTCCCTACAAAGTAAGTAAACTGAAAGACAACAACTGTGTTGATTTTATTCATGTAGAACCAACTGACACATTAAAATCATGTAAATTCAAAGCTCTATTTTTGTCAGTGTACTTTGAGTATATGTGATGAAAGTGCTGGAAAGACTTTATGAACAGCTTTACAAACACAAGAAAATGTTTACAGACTCATCAGTCGATGCAGTGCAAAGCTGTGTTCTCTAAAACTTCTTATTTCAGTCGATTTTTTTCTGATTGTATTCACAGCCTTATGATAATAACTAAGTCTATATATGAAAATTCAGTACTTTTATGGCATCAACTGAATTACTTCAATAATACCAAATTTCAGTACCTAAGTATTTGATATTGGGTCACTTTACAGAAACGTCCACATTTTATCTGTCCATAGGAGTCACTGGTGTTACCGATCCTCACTGGTGTTACACATAATAAAGGAACACCAGAGACATTTTTAATGAACAATGCATTTTACAAAATGGCGGCTACAGAGCATCAAACCACATGTCCTCAATCATGGAATATCCACTAAAATATGGAATTTAATCCATTTGTGTTCTATTTTTTCACAAATACCTCAGAATAAAGTCGGTCACACCAGTGACTTCAGCTAAAAGCTTTGTATGAAATCATGAGCTGAATGAGAAAATCTCTGATAACTGAAAGACACAGCGGACTCACCATGTGCTTTTCTTCATAGATCCTCAGAAAATAGGTAAAAGGAAGTCAAGTGATGTCATCAGTGTGACTTTTATTTCAAAATAAGAGGTTTTTTGTTACATAGTAACACCAGTGACACGACTCCTGGGGACAACAACTTTCATTATATATTTTATAATATTTATTTGGCTTTTGTTTTCTTTATGTCATTTAATTGATATACTTCATAGTCATGCATAGATTACAGATTAAATTGCAGAAAAATGTGTTTTTTTCTTCAAAACATGGCCTCAGCCTTCACACATGACTGTGGGGACGAGCTCTTCTGTGGTGCTTGGAATTCTAGATAATTGATTTAAAAACCAATATTGCTAAATTGATGCTCTAGAAGGCGTAATTGTTAAAATAACTGTTTTATTTGTTTTTATTGTTTTATTTAAAAAATATAAATAAATTGTAACCCTAACATGTTTTTTAAGTGTAATATATCTGCAAATGCTAGGGACACAAAAATTTTCTGTTCCTGTAGAATGGCCCTATTACCAGCATCCACTAGCCAATAAGCAAGCTTGTTTCAAAAGCTAGGCTGCTGATTGGCTGTCTAAATTACATTCTGAATGCATCTTAATATTGTAAGCACTTCTTAATTAGACAGATACATTACAGATTAGTCTGCAGTCCATTACTGTCAGTCAACACAACCACTTCCAGCACCTCCTACTAATTTCTGCTGTAAGCCACACCCACTTTCAGCCTGTCATTCAAAAGAAAGTATCAAAAGCAGTATCATTCAGGAATCGGAACTGAAGTCAATGGTACTGATATCATAAAAACTGGAATGGTACCGAGCCCCAGTAACAACGACCAATAAAACAGGAGTCAATGAGAAGTATAAATGACTGCATTTGAAGTCTCTTACCTGTAAAATGCTTTATGAACTTGTCTTTTACGCTTACGTCTCTCGGGACGATCTCTGAAATAAAACACAATAGAAAAATGGTTGAAAAAACACTGCATGCATGCTGTGCGTGATGCTCGCTGGACTGACGAAGGGAGCAGATGTGCTACAGTTCTGTAAGCCATTTCAAACAATCTGGTTCAGCTTAAGGTGTCAGACTGTAAACAAAGTCAGTACAAAGAGGTATTTGGGTGAATAAATTAATAATTAAAAAGTGCTCATGGTATTTAAGCCTATTAGCATGGACTCTACCGCACAGCACTTAATACACAAATCTAAAATCTAACTACAGTCTTATCCAAAAGTTTTGGCACCCTCAGTTTTACATGTTTACATGTTCTGTTGATTTACTAAGAGAAAATAAGTTCCTCTACAGAGAACACACTTAATTATGGCGTTTATTTTAGTGCACAACTTCTATGTATTTGTTTAATTTAAAGAATCTATATTCGACATTTTTCTTGCATTTTATTGTCTCCCGTGAGGAGATGTCCACTAATGACATTGGTCTGGTGCTATGCACAAAAGCATTAGGCTTCATTCTCCAACATCTTCCTAAGTATGTTCTTAAGGTAAGTGACCCTTATTAGTCCCACAACAGGGAAATTTCAGCTCCACATTTTAAGCCATCTGTGCAGTGAAACACCACATACACACTAGTGAATGCACACACACTAGGGGGCACTGAGCACACTTGCCCAGGGCGGTGGGGAGTAGTTAGGGGTTAGGTGCTCAAGGGCACTTTAGTCACGTACTGTCAGCTCAGGGGATCCAACCGGCGACCTTCCGGTCACAAGGCTGGTTCCCTAAGCTCCAGCCCACGACTGCCCCCTAAAATGTGTTCTTAAGGAAGATCCTAAGAAAAAGTCTATGTCAGATTCATGAAGTGTTCATAAAGCGCAGGACTGTTCTCACCTTTGTGCTCCTGCATTGGTGAATGACAGAGTCTTTGTGAAAACTGCGTAAGTGGGTTTTAAGAAGAAATTTCGGTAACACTTTCTATGAATGTCACGTTTGTAAGCATCTATAAACACATTCATAGCATGTTATAATGCATTCATAAGACATTATAAACATAGCTATAAATATTTATAAAAATGCATTATATGTTATAGTCATGTTTATTATGCATTATGAATTGTTAACATAATACATTATAAGTACTGATCATAACAAATTATAAGAGCTCATAAGTGGTATTTGTCCGCTCTAAGTAAAGTGAAGTGTACTGTACTAAAGCCTCCTCCAGTGTTCAGAGTGAGGCTTCAAGTTGAAGTATTTACTGAAGGATTTACTGAAACACTAAAACATACATAATAAAGCACATTACAGGCTTCAAATGTCAGAGTTTAAACTAGAGCTGCCATCAGTGTTTTACCCAATGTGGGAAAGGTAATGTTCACCACCGTTAGCTTGGTATTTGTCTTTACTTTACACTCTCCAAGCTGGGACTGACTTCTTCGGCACTGACATTATAACATGTTATTAACACTATTTATAATGCATTATATTAACAATTCATTATGTATAATAAACATGGCTATAAAGTGTAATTCAGTGTAATTCTTTTTTATAAATATTTATAACCATGTTTATAATGCCTTATGAATACATTATAACATGTTATAAATGTGTTTATAGATGCTTACAAAGGTGACATTCAAAGAAAGTGTTACCGAAATTTCTTCTTAAGAATGGCTGGTGAATGAGGCCCACAGTTCTTTTTTACTCTATCATTTTGCAACATTGTGCTAACCCTGTTTTGGTTACTGCGTCTTTAAGACTGAAATATGTAAATGAGCTCTGTTCTGATTGGCTGTGCATTATTCAAAAAGCAGTGCGTGCTGAAACACTCCTTCAGTGTGAATGGGAGGGGCTAAAATGCCGTAGGTGGAATAGGTAAATATATGTTAGCTTTTGTGACATCACAAAAACAGTAAATTCTTATGTAGTTTCCATATATTAACTGTATAGACTAGAGAGAAAGGTATGTTTTGAAACTTTAACATAGTTTATTTACTACATTAAACTGTTCTATTTAAAAAAAGAAAATAATTCATTAATTTTTCCCTGAATCATGAATCATTCAATTCATTTTTAGGAGATGTTTCTGAGGAGATTAGATATAAAATAATCCATACTGAAGTGAAAAGTCAAAGCAAAAAAGTTAAAAATCAGGAAATTCCAAACTATTCAAAAATTTTTAAAAGCTACAGAGAAAATGTGTCTCCTAACAACCACCTGGAAGACCTGGTAGACCCCAAAACTGCCCCCATCAGATAAACAGCACTTAAAGCTTCCATCTTTGAGAGAGAGGAGAAAATCAAGCTGCTTCAGATCTGAAAACATCCACAGGTGTTTCTGTCCATCCTTCCACTGTGAGAAGACGACTCAGCGCTGTGGGTCTGAAAGGATGTGTAGCTGTCAAGAAGAACCTCACTGAGAAAAGGAGACGGACACATCAAACAAAGAAGCTGAACGATGGACTGACCACCCCAGAGTCCAGACCTCAACACCACTGAATGTGTTTGATTACTTCAGAAAATGATCAACCAGCTTCTAAGACTGAACTTTGGAGGTGTGTCTGCAGATTCTTTGAGGAGCTGAAAGTGAGGCTCCTGAAAAGAATGGAAGCTGGAATAAAGGTGAAGAGTGACTCACTGAAAACTGAAATACCTGGCGTTGCATTTAGTCATTGAGGTTTATGTTAAATAGGTTTTCTGCTTTTTTCCTGATGCTGAAAAATAATAAGTTGTGCTTAATGACTGTTTTAACTGGAAAGGGTGGTCTCTGACTTTTGCACAGTACTGTATGACACTAAATCAACACCAAGATATAAAAGTCACCACATCACAAAAATGGCAGAAAAATGGCTGTTTATGTGAAACACATTTCTCTAATGTCCACTTCTTTGACCTACATGCCTAAAAAGAGGGTTCTTTAGAAAAGAAAATGGTTCTATATAGAACCATGAACACTCAAAGAACCATTTGCATGATTAAAGGATTTGTTGCATCATGAAAGGGTTCTTTAGATTGATGGAGAATGTGCTGTAGATGGTTCTATATAGAACACTCAAATCATGAAGGGGTTCTTCGGGTTGATGGAAAATATGCATGAATGTGCTATAGACACCAAAAAGGATTCTTCTATTGCTACAAGCTTGACATCATAACAATAGAAGAACCCTTTTTGGTGCTATATAGAACTCTTTTCAAAAAGGTTCTATATAGAACCATCTACAGCACATTCTCCATCAGTCTGAAGAACCATTTCATGATGCAACAAACCCTTTAATCATGCAAATGGTTCTTTGAGTGTTTATGGTTCTATATAGAACCATTTTCTTTACTAAAGAACCCTTGAAGAACCCTCTTTTTAAAGGTTTAAATGGATTACACAGTGGATGTAAGACACTAAATGTCCACATATTTATGTTCTACAGTCGGCACCTCTATCACACTCATTCTCTCCACATTACGCCTCGTCAGATCATGATCAAACTGATCAGAGGTAATGACACATTCCTTTCGCCGTGACACATTTCAGACGTGTGCGCTGTTACAGCGCGATGACTAAACATTTTGACGCAGCCTGTCAGGGTGAGAACAGGTATGTGTTTGGTGGTTAAGCCAGCCCCTTTTATATCTGCACAACGGCTTGGGGTCCTCGCTAATGATGACCAATCTCCGGCCTGGCTGACCCAAGCACACCCTCCCCACTCCCCGAGAATATCCCCAGCGCAGCGCTCCAGCCTAAGGAGATTACTGCTCACAGTGTTGTAATGCCTATCAATGTCAGATGCACAAATCCATGCTGCTAATTTTAGCCTCCTCCAGACAGAGGGACAGCTCATACTCTGTTATGAATGAGTTTGAGACGATTAGCTGATTCACAGCAGGCTTCACTAATGCGAAGTGTCCATATTAGGGCCTGACCGATATATTTGTTTGATGTAAATATCAGACGACCAATGATTTTACCAGGATGGGTGAAAATATCACTCATAATTACTGACTTTTTTGGTCATGGATGCATGCAAAACGCATAATCTCACAACGAAAGGGTGAAATCTTGCGTGTGAATGGTTGGATGGTTGGGTGTGTGGTACAGCAACATCACAATACTGACAATATACAATATGAATCACGATCTCTGTTTTTTCTGAGGTTTGATCAAAAACTATGATTGATCATTTTAAGTCAGTGTTTCATACCCTGCACTGATCATGTCTACAGAATGCTCAGAGAAGCATATTTTGACATGATGTGACATAATTTATCACAATAACAATTAATATTGTCATATTACCAGCCATTATTTATACACTGTCTCGAATAAACTGCTCAATATGAGACACAAGAGCAATCAATGTTTTTTTAATAACATAAGACCAATGTGTATATATATATAGTAGATATATAGTAGTACACACACACACACATAATATATATATATATATACATATATACATATACATATATATATATATATATATATATATATATATATATATATATATACACATATACACATATACATATATATACACATATATATATATATATATATATATATATATATATATATATATATATATATATATATATTGATGAAATTGTTGTAGAAAAAAAAAACTACTTTACTTTTAATGGAAGTCAATGGAACCGGAAATTCTTCATTTGGGCCGTTTGTTTTGGTCCATTCTTCATGAAATTTACAAACAATGTAAAGGAAAACAGGCACTTTCAAATTATGTTAAAAACTGAGAAATGACAAAAATTGAGATTTTCTATATATAATTTCCACATATTTCCACATATTTTTGGTATATTTATATTCATTTCCGTATATTCTTTTCTGTGTATTTACATACTATAACAGAGCTACGCATCTATGATTTTCACTCACCTTTACCCCTGTGTAAACGTGATGTGACTCTAAAAAGGCATTTGATTTGATTAGATTTATTAATGTATAAAATTATCCTAATCTTGTACATCTGCACAACTTTC